ACACAAGGCCCCCGCTCCTCATGTATTTAAACCCTCTCAGTCCTGAGTGCCTTGCCTGTTCATTGTTTCAGTGTCAGTGTGCTTCATTAAAAACCCTTTAATACCTCTTCACCAGACTTGTTTTTGACTCACCTGTGTTTGGATCCTCATCCCAGCCCTTCCTTCAGGTGTAGGTGGACTGCAGAGTCTTGACCTGAAGAGGTGGCTCTCATGGGTTGTGCCATGTGTTTGTGTAATTGTTTAGTTTACCCAATCTAAAGGTCTGAACAGTTCTCACTAATACATAAATGAGGCTCAATTCCGATTTTTAGAGTAAATCTGAATTTTTGTGCGTGGCTGTTCACACTGCGACTGAAATGCGACATCACACAGTAAAACTGCGCTGCTTGTTTTCCCAGCTTCACCGCGGGATGATGACAGCAACACGGAGAGCGACACGGACATCGCTACACAAAAGGTGTGTGACGAAGCTCTTGTGAGGCTGTTCAACTCCGACACTGAAGATGACTTCAGTGGTTTCAGTGCACAGGAGGACGATGAATAAACTAATCAAAAACTTTTCTGTTTTGTTTGATACTGATCAGTTCAGTTAAACTACGTTTTCAATTCAGTAGATATCTGCGGCTTTTAGCCCGGTGCGGCTTATATTGAGGTGTGCTCTATAGTCCGGAAATTACGGTAAATAAATAGTTATTAGTCATTTTAATATCGCTTGTCTTTGATAGTTTAATTGCTTGCACAACAGCAGACAGGTTTGGTGCATCTGTCGTTTTGCTGCTGCCAAGGGAACTGCGTCTAAAAAGAAGACAAAACTCGGCATGACCGAAAGTGAAAGACTGCAGCAGCATAATTTGTCTCAGAAACATTGTTTACTTATGCCTGGTTGTCATTTGATTTCGCATGGTGGATTTATTGAATAAAAGCATTTTCACTCTGCGCTTGAAGTCTTCTCAGAAAAACTCACTGGAGAGAGAGCGGCACTTTAAATGCCCACGACAATTCAACATGGGCATCTTTAACAGCTACAGAGGAATGTCCTACTTCTCTTTCTTGCTTCGGGGCACAAGGTAGGAAGGGTAAATCTGAATATTAAAGATAACAGCGTTGAATAAGGTTACCATCACTCTGTTTCTAGAAATGATGATGGGATCATAAATTAAAATTCACTTTGAAGTGTCTGGTTAGGAAACTCCCCACTGAGACACCCACATTGACACAAAATCGAAACGCATTACTCTATGATGGTTTTTAGGAAGATAAAATATTATAAAACCATTTTTATCTGAAAATCTGAGTCAGTTTGGCAGTGTTTATGGAATCAAATGTGGATTTGGTTTCTTTGTGAGAAAATGTTGCATTCAGTAAATAGCTAAAGAAAACAAAATTGAAGCAGTGCTGAACTTGCGGGGCTTGTTTAGGGTTTAGCCTCACACTTCGCAGCTTCCACGATTCCAGCCAGTCAAAGGAACAGCTCATTATCTGAGAAGCTGCTGAAAAGAAACAACAGCCAATAAATAATAGGCAGGAAGAAAGTGATGGAAAGTAAATTGTTAAGGCAGAGCTAATAGATTTTTACTGATAGAGGCTAAGCAGATACATTTCATTGGCACAAGGTAATTATAAAACAAGATAAAGGTGACCTCATTTAAATACCCATCTTCTCGAGCTTTATAGAACTTGCTGCTTCGGTAACAAACGCTGAATAAGCAGATTTCCTCTGAGTGGAGACTTCCATGAGGGTGGGGGGGGGGGGGGGGGGGTTGGGGTGGGGGGGGTCCCTCGGACACTCACACACTGCCAAGAAACATGATTGGAAGCTAAGCTGCTGACAGCTGCTGTGCTTTCTGAAGCAGCAGAGCAGAGGAAAGTCCTTAAAAGTCATCCAAGCCAGGGAAGGGATCTGCTCCTGATGGATCACCAAAAGCTTCCTGTCCTCCTCCTTATTATTCCTCCTCCTGTAAGTCTCCCTGTGCTCCTCACAAAGCTTTAATATTGATTCAGCTGGCTAACTGCTCTCCTTGTGTGCCCTGTTAGTCTGAAGAATTTCTCCAGTTTATACCCACTCGAGCCCAAAAACATTTTCATTACTTCCTAGAAAATGTATTTTCCTTTCTTGAGTTTGCAGCACACGTCCTGAACTTAAGCTACCATAGTGTGCACCAGAACTAACAGGTAATGGGGCTACACTGATTACAGTACCCTGCTGTGAAGCAGAAGAAGATTATTTTCACTGACAGCCTTGCTCTCTGATACATCAGACACATGGTTATTAATGAGCTCAATAATCACATCTCTAAGCAGCAATACATGTGACAGTCCCTTATCCTCTGAATCAACCAGGGTTCTACAACTCAAATATGAATATATGTAATCAAAACAAGTCTTCAGAACGTCGGTTACGTATTGTAAACTCAGATTCTATGAGTCTAGTCGCAGCCCTTAAGCTAGCTGCTATTGGAAGGATGATCTCAGCATCAGCCAATCATCAAGAGCTTAAATGTACACCCACCAATGGTGGGCACCCCTTGTGGGTATATAAGTGGAGCGATTCCACTGTTTGCCTCCGATGGCTCTTAGTCCTAACAGAACCAGTGGGGCCGTTGGCTTAAGGGCTGCGAGTAGACTCATAGAATCTGGGGTTACAATTTGTAACCAACGTTCTATTTCGTCTAGTCTTAGCCCTTAAGCTAGCTGCTATTGGAATAATGCGCAGCTGGATGGGTTCACGCCACACTGGTTAGCTCAACCAATGGACACACCCAACATGTCTCCATTTAGTGAGGGACGCTCAGCCTTAGTCCAGGGCTTAAAAGGCTGAGGCAGCCAGAGAGAAGAGTGGGGCCCCACTAAAAAATATCATCCACAAGAGGATGAAAATCATTCAAGCAAGGCTGATGTGGTGCCATAATGTTTTCACTCAGCCTGCTGAGGTCCAAGCACTGAACGAGTGATGGATCCTGAAGACACATCTCGTAAATAATAACGAGTAAAGGAACAGGGTGAAGCCCATGAAGCAGCCTGACAAATGTCTTCCATTGACACACCACTGTGGAGCGCCATAGAAGAGGAAATCCCTCTGGCTGAGTGAGCCCTGAGTGTCTCAGGAGGATCCCGCCCTGATGATGTATAAGCGAGTGAAATGACGTCACATAGCCAGTGTGAAAGACGCTGGGTCAACAGCGCTTGCCCAAGGGAAGAGTCTCTGTAGTGCACAAACAGGCTTTGTGAGCGGCGAATCCCTGAAGTGCGTGACACATATCGTGCAAGCATGCGCACCGGGCAGAGAAGGTGGGAAGCCGCCTCCTCATCAGAATTATGGGGAGGAGGAAAAAGTCCAGCCAACGAAATTGACCTGGATTTGAAGGAAGCATTAATGTTTTTGGGCACAAAGGCTGGGTTGGGGCATAAAACAGCAGATCCGCCATCTTCCCGGATCCTGAGGCATGCGGGAGCCACTGAGAGGGCGGTTATGTCGCTCACCCTCTTGACTGATGCCAGCGCCAGCAGCAAGGCAGTTTTGAGTGTCAGAGGAACTTGAGTGAGACCTGGTCCAAGGGTTCAAATGGGGCTTCAAATAAGCCGTGCAGAACCACTGTTAGGTCCCACTGGGGAATTAGTGGGCGGGACACAGGTCTGTTCCTTCTGACACCTTTTAGAAAACGTTTTGTGAGGGGATGATTGAAAACAGATCTATCTCCAAAACCCTGGTGACAGGATGAGATAGCTGCAGCATATGTTTTAATAGTGCTGAATGCAAGGCCCCTGTCCATCGGTATCTGCAGAAATGATAGGACATCTGCCAGCTGGCAGGAGAGCACTTGAACATTCCTCACTGTGCACCATTTCTGGAAAGCTGCCCATTTAGCAGCATAAGATGCAACGTTAGAGGGCGCCCGCACTCTGAATCGTGTCGACCACATCATGTGGCAGCCCAGAAGCCTCTAAGCGTGACCGCTCAGCGGCCAGACCCACAGCCGCTGGCCTATTTCAGGAGGATGTTTGATTATCCCATCCGCCTGGAGAAGGGCGTCCACCCTCCACGGGAGCCTCCACGGGGAGCCGGACACTAGCGCTTGCAGGTCCGGAAACCATGACGCCGACAAGCGTCTGGGAGCTACCAGAATTACCGAGAGCTGTTCCGACCGAACTCGGTCCAGGAGTCGGGGAATCAGTGGGACTGGCGGAAACGCATACAGGAGCGTCTGAGGCCAGAGCTGGTGCGAGAAGGCGTCCGCTCCGAGCGGGGACTCAGGGAAAACCACAGGCGACACTGTGCGTTTTCGCGAGCCGCGAACAGATCCACAGAGGGTTCCCCAAACCTTATCCAGATCTGTGATATCAGTGCAGGATGCAGATGCCAGTCGGAGTCACGGGGACCCCCTCTCGACAGGATGTCTGCTGCTACATTCAGGACCCCTGGAATGTAGGTGGCTTTGATGGACAGCAGGTGGACATGTGCCCAACACAGTAAATCTGTGGCTACACGCAATAGTGGGAGGGATCGAACTCCCCCTTGGCGATTTATGTAGGCAGCCGCCACCTGGGTGTCTGTGTGAACTTCGATATGACGGCCCTCGAGAAGGGCAGCGAAGTGTCTGATCACATTCCTCACTGTCATAAGCTCCAACACATTTATGTGCTCGTGCGTATGGGAGGGCCAGCGATCTGCCACCGTATGGGACAAGCACGTGCCCCCATCCCAACAGTGACACATCCGTAAACACAGATATATGTGACGTAGGACGTCCGATGGGGACCCCGTGTGAGAGGATGCAGGGATTCCCCCAGTGAGCGAGGTCCCTGCCCACCGAAGGGGGAACCCTCAACATACGTCTCTTCTGACGTATCGGGTGTACCTGGAGGCAGATGAACCAAAGCCAACTACCCCTGACTGCATCCCGGAGATTGGGGCGGGGCTAAATGTGGGCGGGGTCAAACGTTTAGAGGTGGGTGGAGACAACTATTTGACTCCTGCATCCTGCCCCTCTCTCAATGGAACCAGGAAACCGCTGTGTGTGTGCAATGCTGTAGCCGGGACAGAGGGAAGTAGCTGCCAAAATCAAGGTAAGCCAGGATTTTTCTTTCTCTGTTTTAACAATATCGAGGACCAATGTTGGGCGAACGTTTTATGAACTTGGAAATTAAAGGTTTTTTCCCCATTATGAGTTTTAGATGATACATATACAGGTGCTGGCCAGTAAATTAGAATATCATCAAAAGGTTGAAAATACTTAAGTAATTCCATTCAAAACGTGAAACTTGTACATTATATTCATGCAATGCACACAGACCAATGTATTTCCAATGTTCATTACATTTAAATTTGATATTCATAAGTGACAACTAATGAAAACTCCAAATTTGGTATCTCAAAAAATTAGAATATTCTGAAAAGGCTGAATATAGAAGACACCTGCTGCCACTCTAATCAGCTGATTTACTCAAAACACCTGCAAAGGCCTTTAAAAGGTCCCTCAGTCTTGTTTTGAAGGCACCACAATCATGGGGAAGACTTCTGACTTAACAGCTGTCCAAAAGACAATCATTGACACCTTGCACAAGGAGGGCAAGACACAAAAGGTGATTGCTAAAGAAGCTGGCTGTTCGCAGAGCTCTGTGTCCAAGCACATTAACAGACAGACGAAGGGACGGAAAAAATGTGGTAGAAAAAAGTGTACAAGCTCTAGGGATAACCGCACCCTGCAGAGAATTGTGACGACAAACCCATTCAAAAATGTGGGGGAGATCCACAAAGAGTGGACTGCAGCTGGAGTCAGCGCTTCAAGAACCACCACGAGGAGACTCATGAAAGACATGGGATTCAGGTGTCGCATTCCGTGTGTCAAGCCACTCTTGAACAAGAAACAGCGCAAGAAGCGTCTCGCCTGGGCCAAGGACAAAAAGGACTGGACTGATGCTGAGTGGTCCAAAGTTATGTTTTCTGATGAAAGCAAGTTCTGCATTTCCTTTGGAAATCAAGGACCCAGAGTCTGGAGGAAGAGCGGAGAAGCACAGAATCCACGTTGCATGAGGTCCAGTGTAAAGTTTCCACCGTCAGTGATGGTGTGGGGTGCCATGTCATCTGCCGGTGTTGGCCCACTCTGTTTCCTGAGGTCCAGGGTCAATGCAGCCGTCTACCAGGAAGTTTTAGAGCACTTCATGCTTCCTGCTGCTGACCAACTTTATGGGGATGCAGACTTCACCTTTCAACAGGACTTGGCACCTGCACACAGTGCCAAAACCACCAGCACCTGGTTCAAGGACCATGGTATCCCTGTCCTTGATTGGCCAGCAAACTCGCCTGACCTTAACCCCATAGAAAATCTATGGGGTATTGTGAAGCGGAGGATGCAATACGCTAGACCCAACAATGCAGAGGAGCTGAAGACGACTATCAGAGCAACCTGGGCTCTCATAACACCTGAGCAGTGCCACAGACTGATCGAGTCCATGCCACGCCGCATTACTGCAGTTATTGAGGCAAAAGGAGCCCCGACTAAGTATTGAGTGCTATACATGCACATTCTTTTCATGTTCATTCTTTTCAGTTGGCCAACATTAGAGAAACAAACATTTTTTCATTGGCCTTTAGAATATTCTAATTTTCTGAGATACCAGATTTGATGTTTTCATTGGTTGTCACCTATAAATATCAAAATTAAACGTAATAAACATCGGAAATACATTGGTCTGTGTGCATTGCATGAATATAATGTACAAGTTTCACGTTTTGAATGGAATTACTGAAATATTTTCAACCTTTTGATGATATTCTAATTTACTGGCCAGCACCTGTAGCCTATTTTACACATGCGGGGTGACTTACTTTTGAGGAGAAATGTTTACAGGGTTCCCGCGGAGTCTTAAAAGCATTGAATTTATGAATTTGAAAGTAATACCTTTAAAAGACTAGAGAAACCCTTCAATTTTGGCATCTGGGTCTTAAAATTTGTGTTGGATGTAAGTTTTCTGTACTGCATTTTTCTTCTGAAGTTCATCAAAATATTCCAAACAAGTGATGACATGAAGAGAAGCACTAGTATTAATAAAGGCTATTTTTAGACATTTATTTCAATTTTGTGTCTTTACTGTTTGCACTGTTGCTTTTATACAATAGAAATACTGCAAGAAATTAGGGTAATAAAATTAACAATAATAAAAAAAAACGTCTTAAAATTAAACTAAAATATAGGCAACAAAAATTATTGTTAAGGTTCTAATGTAAAACCAGAGATCCGGTTATATTTTTAACCATTTGTTTAAAAATATCACCGATCTTCTACCAAGTGCCCACCCAGTGTTTTGTCAAAATATATTGGTAAAGTTGTATAGATAAATAAATGAAAACTAGTTCAAGAATTTTATTTTATTTATTTACTTTTTTGCTGATAGTGCTGTGAAATAGGTATTAATTTTCTATATAGCTTTAGAAAGATCTTAAACAGACTTAATTTTAAGTTGAAGAAACCTGTAGGAACACTTTTATAGCTTTGGGGAGATATGTTGTGTGGTCGTGATTACTTTTTGGTGGAAAATATATTTTACAGGAGGAAATGTTAGTTTTTTAAGCTTTTTATGTTTGTATCTGAGTTCTACACCTGATGGGCTTTATTATTATGGTTAGAGTGCTAATCTGATACGTGTAATTATATAAACGTTTTGCTCAGTCAAGTGTCAACAGAATAACATGAATGTTTTCATAGTGAATGAATGTTGTCATTGTATCACCAAGGTCTGAGGAAGACAGGGTGCAGGCACGAAAAAGACGGAGAGAGGAAAGAGTAAAACAGGTGAGAGACAATTTGATTAATTCTTGTAGTTTAACTGTTGCTTGCAGACTAAAGCATAATTCCTTCACTTATTTCAGGGCCAGGAAGTGGTCCCTCCTAAGAAGTCCTGCCATACTGAATTAGTCTGTGCAGCATCAGGTATTGTTCAAACAAGTATTATTGTACACAACCCCCTAGGTTGTCGAAATGGGATGTGGGAAGAATCAAGATTCAACTTTTTGTCATATGTACAGCTAGAAAAACACGCTTTCTGCACAATGAAATTCTTACTTTGCCAAGATTAGAAAATTAAGACCGTTCCAGACGAGCACTTTTTTTTTCAAAGCAAGTTTTTCAGTCATTTCTCTATTTTCATTAAACCAGAATACTAAGCAACTGATCTTTTTTACAACTTGCACTGTTAATATGCTTTTTATGAACCACAATCTTTTTCCTTTCTAGCAGAGGCTGAGAACTTGCTGGAACTGGACACAGGGAACAGAGTATGTTTTATATTGTTGGCTTGTGTCATTGTTTCTTCTCCAACCTCTATTTTAATTAGAGGTGTCAAATAATTCCATTACTTGCAATTAATTTTTTTCAGCCATGATTAACATGTTATATATTTTAATTATGTTAATCATTTTTAATCTACTGCTTCTTTATGGGACTTTTAAATAAACCAATTTCTTTTCTTTTACGCTTCTTGCTGGTGTTCTTGAAGGGTTGATGTAAACTCATAAGTTGAAGGGTTGACGTTACAGTGACAAGACCGGTGAGAGATTAGCTGCAGCAGTGTTTATTTCAGCGACCTTGTTATCTTTACTCTGTTTTTTTCACCCTTCTTGCAACTTTTTCCAAAGTTATTGTTACCATTTGGATGTAATGGGTGTGTCACTGAGCATCAAGGCTGCTGACAGCTTCTCTTCTGTATCAGACGCACATCCGTGCTGCAGTTTGGAAAGACCACAGCATCAGCTGTTTGGTTAGCTGTTAGCATTGAAAATAAGGCTTATATTATGTACAGTTATTAGATTAAATTAAAAGATTAGATTACTTTCAGATCATACATAATTAATGTAAAATATGTTTTTAATCTCTTGACAGCAGTAATTTTAATATTGTCTTTATTTTTGATTAGGAGAATTCTCTGCTTGAGGACACCTTTGAGGCAGCAAGGTGGTGTACCACAAGGTCCTTCAAAAGAAGCCTTTCCCTTCCCCAGGTCATCACCATGGACAGGGAAGCTTGCCGGAGGGCAGTGGAGAGGTTATGCTTCTGTGATGGCCTAGATGAAGAGGAGATGAACGATTGCAGGGAACCGTTCCTGTTCATGTTTAGTTTTCAGTCAGACTATGAGGAGTTCTGCAGAGAAATTGAGGAAAAAAGGAAGATCAGGGTGTTTTCTGGCTTTGAAATGCCATAGTACAGCGGTGTCACAGTTTTTGCATTCTTTTTCCTCCTCACATTGTTTTTTTGGAGGTTCTCTTGCTTTTTGTGTGCTTTTTGGTTCATTTGTTTGTACTTTTTTTTATTCCTGTGTTGGCTGTTTGCTCTATTAAATTTACCTTTTTTGAAAAATTTTGTCTGCATTCTTGGGTGTCTCACACAATGTCTCACCACCCCGCCTCAAACCCTGGCATGTTTTAAGAAGTATCAGCACAATTTAAGTCTCTGGTCCTCTTAATGTAGCTGAAATAACTGAGTGTACAACAAATTTACCCATGTCTGTACTGTTTTACACTCACTTGGGAAATGACTATTAAAATAAAGGCGGCATTGATAAAATCAACTATTAAAATGGTTTTGACAGGTTTAAAGAATAGTCTATCAAATGCCTGAACCTTTTATATAGGTACCAAAAGTATAGCTAAAAGACACAAATACCTATGTGCTATAAATACACATACCATACAAAAGTAGAAAAAAGAATAAAAATATCAGAACAGATTGGATCAAAAATGGCGCCTGTAATTATCTGCTCTTTAAAATTATCATGACATCCAGCAAACAAGTCATTTGATTACCAATGTTATGCTTTACATGGGTTTTGTGGGGTTTTAGGGCTTTCTAATCCTTAGAAAGGGGCTACTCGCGGTTTCCTGGTTCCATTGAGAGAGGGGCAGGAGTCAAATAGTTGTCTCCACCCACCTCTAAACGTTTAACCCCACCCACATTTAGCCCCGCCCCGATCTCCGGGATGCAGCCAGGGGCTACTCACCAAAGCTGCAGGTGCCTCGTGTGCAGTAAACCTAATTGCACCACAGCATGGGCTGCAGCCATCATGCCCAGAAGTTTCATGACTAACAGGGCTCTCACGATCTTGCGGGGTTGCACGCGGGAGATCACCATGGTGAGATCTGCCGCTCTCGCCGGAGACAAACATGCTCTCATTAGGGAGGCGTTCAGCTCTACCCCGAGAAACACAATCGACTGGGATGGAAGGATGGAGCTCTTCTCCCAGTTTATGGAAAACCCCAGGGTTGACAGATGCTCTATTAACTTCCTGGTTTGCTCTGACGCCTCGTCCTTGAACCGGGCACAGAGGAGCAGATCGTCCAGGTAAAATAAAACCCTCATTCTCGCCATGTGCGGTGGCTGCAGCGTGGTGTCCAGACATTTGGAGAAGGTGCGCGGGGCTAGCGAGTAGCTGAAAGGGAGACGATTGAAGTGGTATTGAACTCCCTTGAATGAAAAGCGCAGGAACTTCCGGTGCTTGGGAATTACTGGGATGTGGAAGTATGCGTCTTTCAGGTCTATTGACGTGAACCAGTCCCCGGAGCGCATGTATTCCAGGACTTGCCTCATTGTTAATATGCAGAAATGCATCACTGCTATGGAGCAGTTGAACAGGGAAAGGTCGAGAATTGGTCTCATTCCTCCCGACTTCTTCGGTACTACGAAGTAGCGGGAGTAGAAGCCTGAGAGCTCTCGTCCGCGAGGGATGTGGGAAATTGCGTCCTTGGACAGATGTTCCCGCAGCTCTAGCTCCAGGGCCTGAGATTGTACCTGTGACGTGAACATCATCTCCACGATCCCGTTGAAGGGAGGAGGAGCGGGCTGAAAATGGAGTGTGTGACCGTAATGAATGGTGTCCGATATCCATTTGCTCATGAGGCAAAGGCAGCGCCATTCTTGCGCGCGTTCTGACAGCGGACGCATGTTCGAGGTCACGTGAATGACATCTGAGGACTGGGTTTGCGCCCTTACAGCCGTCGCTCGCACCAGAGAACTGGGAGTGACCCATGGAGTGCTGTGCTCAAAAGGGCGAGTGTGGAACAGCCGGAAGAGACTGATCCGCACCGCAGAGCGTGGAGTCCAAGGATGAAGGGAGTGGGAGCCGGGCCCGTGCACAGGGATGACAGAGTGCCAGCGGATGAAGCCGCGCACTGGTCGCCGCTCGTGGTCGCGACAGCGCCATGACATCCCTTCCCACCCAACGTTGTGGGGGAAGCGGGATGAATTGGGCCTGGCCAGAGGCTGGGGCCGGTGCGCAAATGGAGCGCACCCTTACAGCTGGCCGCGTAATATGACGGACTGCGGGAACATGCAGTTGCGCTGCAGTGCTTGGTGTGGGAAACGTGTGAGGATTCAGCAGAGGGTTCTGCAGAGGACTGTAGGATTGTGCTCTCAATGCGACATTTTTTGGGTTTCATTTAAAAACCAAAATAATTCACAGAGTTAACATTACAGTCATAAGCACACACATTCCCCCCAACGAGTCGTTTTCGTGGTTGTTTTCGGCAAGTCCTTTTTCTTTTTCTTCTCAGCCTTCAGAGAGTACAGACGCTTTCTTCTCAGCTCCCTTATCGGCTTCCCCAAGGCTCTTGTCCTGTCTGCCTACAGAGCGCTTCTCTGCATTTCTCCTGAAACCACTACTCTTTTTTTGGAAATATGGACTTAATTAACTGGTCATTCAACGCAACTGACAAAATTTTTTCGACGATGAGAACGGAGAAGGGGGCTCGCACCTGTCCCGAGGGGACATTCGCATCGGGATATGCACTCGATTCTTGGGAGGTCTGGCGAATCGTGTGCCTCTCTCAGCTGTCCATCGAGGACTTGGAAGATTTGTGGATGTTCGGCCTGATGATCACTGGGTTTCTTCTGATTGGAGTGGGAGGATATCTGGTTTTCTGGAAATTTGGGAAGCCGGGAGCGATTGGAGTGCGACCCGTGCCCACGGAATGTGCCGCTCGTGCGGCGACCTCACAAACTGGGACGTTACTCGAGGTGAACCGCAACCTGGATAATCTCCTCGCGGCGTTGCCTGTATTAGTAAGCAAGATGGATATGATCTCGGAGAGGGTCGCCGGATGATGTGGGGATGTTTAGAACATAAAATTGGCTTCACTGGTGGACATGAATGACCACTTAGAGACTCCAAGGCGGAGAGGAAAATTATCTCTGCCTGCCCTAAACAAAGTCATGTTTATCCTTATCTGATGCCAAAGCAGCCTCTCAAGGCTGCTTCAACACACCCCCAAAAAAGGAGGAATGCCGACAGATGCTGTGTCCCGACCTTCACCCTCTTCCTTCAGATTGAGACGTCTGCGGGAAACTTCAATGGGCTCTCTGGTCCTTATCTCTCCCTCCCACCTGTTGGTCTGCAGCTGGTTGATGCGCCGCAGTGGCAGCTTCCATTGGAGGCTTCAGGATCCCACCCAACCCCGCCTTCCCATCGGACTCCGATGTTGTATCTGTGCTGTTTGTGCTTCCATGTTAAAGGAGGAGTTTTTTTGTATAATAGAGTTACTCCCCGCTGGGTCTAACTCTGCTATGCCTTTTTTTACCTACCTCCACTTATCCTCATGTAACACCCTCTTCATCTATCTATTAAGTTAGCGTGACTCATGTTGCGAACGACCGCAGTCACCAATTCTTGTCATGTGTCTTACCCACGTATGTCTGATCTTTGAATTGTGTGTGCTGAAACTCAATTTCCTTTCTCTGTATGTCCTGCACATGTGGTAGAAATGACAATAAATTACTTTGACACACACATTCCCCCCAACGAGTCGTTTTTGTGGTTGTTTTCGGCGAGGTTCCTGCGACTGGCAAGACTGTGTCTGCTGGCTCAGTCAAAACCGTTGGCCGCTAACTCCCTGGTCCCGCTGAGGTGGAGCCGAAGCAGGAGGCCTGCTCCGCGGGGTGGGCGGTGCAGCTGGGTGCCTGAAGTTTCCGTGCCGTTCGTCCCATCCTCTGGAGGAACGGCCGGAGTGCGAGACTGACCGAGGGTGGACCAGGTCTTGCACCGTGGCTGACAGTTCAGCCGCCTGCTGAGCCCTCTCGATGACGCTCGTAAGATGGGGACCAAACAGAACGTCAGAGGTGATGGGGCCTTCCAGCATCTCCCTGTGCAGCTGTTCAGGAATGGAGGGCAGGGCCTTGAGCCACAAGGCCCGATGGATAAGGGTCTGCCATGCAGCAATGCGAGCAGAATCGGTGAGTACAGCAGCGCACAGATTGAGAATGGCATGAGCAGTTTTAGTAATGATGGTTTTTGACTCATCAGGAACATCAAGCTCTTCCACCATTTTGGAAACCCCAAAGGCAAGAAGGGCAACGTTATTTCCTGCAGCGCCGACCTGGAAGGCGCACTGGTGTGCGCGATCGGTGAGCCGCATCAGCAGCTGGTCATGCTTAGAAGCAGGAACTGCTCGCGGGCCAGCGAGGTGGTTCTTGGCGCCACACAGCGAGGCCAAGTCCGGCTCCAGTGGAGGAACGGATGGCCAGTCCAGGTCGGAGAAGCCCTCGACCTTGGTAATGGGTGCATATGTGGAAATTGGCGCCTTAAGCTTAGCAGGCTCGGAGAAGGCGGCGGACCAGCAGCTCATGGCAGCGGGGAAGCGCGGCAAGACGGGGTCTGGACAGCGCATCTGTGTTGACCAGAAAATTCCTGCCAAATCATCTGCCTCAGGCAGAGCCGGTTCTGGAACGGCTAGCCCGTTGCGGACCGCAGCCTCGGAGATGATGGCGGGCAGCTCCTGTAGCACATATACAGGTACAGGGCAACGAAATGCAGTTTGCATCCATCCAGAAGTGCTTTAGCCGTGATATAGATGTATTACAATGTATTTTGGCAATAATATAGATGTGTAAGTATATTACATAAATGGATCTATTACGTATGTTATAATGTACACGGTATGAAGTATGTTATGAATATTCTATGACTATAAGTATGTACAGGCTGTAGTTAATACAAGCAGTCCATGAGTTTAACGTGGGTCATATGTCAGGAGGCAGAGTTCAAGAGTCTGACAGCTGTTGGGAAGAAACAGTTCCGGTACCTGATGGTCTTAGTCCGGAGGCTCCTGTAGCACCTCCCAGAGGGCAGCAGGGTGATCAGTACATGTGATGGGTGACTGTGGTCCCTGATGATTTTCTCTGCCCTTTTCAGACACTGCTTCCTGTAGATGTCCTTAATGGCAGGAAGTGGTGCTCCGGCGATGCGCTGGGCAGTTTTCCCGACCCTCTGCAACGCCTTCCGGTCCGAGGCGGAGCAGTTCCCATACCAGACTGTTATACAGTTGGTCAGG